AAAGAGGGTAACATGGAACCCCCAATACTGATAGGGGTAAGTGTGGCAAGCACCACCTCTCCACCCACCCCACCCCCACTCTTCTCAGTAGGATTCTCACACTTAGGGATTCTCTGCTTCCTGAGCAGAAGCTAGTCCTATAGGGGAGGCTGGCTCCCCAGGGACAAAACCGAAGCCCTCCTCCCACCTCCTTCTCTCCCCTCTCTGCCCCCTGAGGCAGACTGGACACTGGCAGGACATGTTCTTCCCACCTCGCCAGCACACACGCATGGACAGAATGGAGAGGAGGACTCACAGAGAACAACAACGCGACAAGGACCTGTGGCACGTCAAGTTATACAGTTTAATCCCAGGAGAAAGGTTTCCTCTCTTCAGCTGTATCTTCCCTCTGGCAGAGCTTCAGATGTCTGCTCCTTTCTCCTCCTGCCTTCCCCCAACCCTGCGGATTAAGCATCACTGAGGAGGGGGAGAGTAGGAGGAGTCTTGGTCACTGCTGAGAAGGCTCTGGGTGAGCCTCACAAGGAATCCAAGTCGGGCTGTAGCGATCTCTGTTTATAACTTCTCACCTTCACCCTCAGCCTCCCTAACTGGTTGTTTTGTTTCACTCTCTCTTCCTAAAATGAAGCTGCTTGCCCTGTCACTTTTCCTGCTGTCCTTCTCCACCGCCCCTCCACCTCGCATATGAAAGCGAAAGTGATGGGGGAACCTCCTCACCTGGAGAAACAAAACCAGGAAACGGCCCAAAACAGGAGTAATTAGGCTTTTGAAGTCGGTGTGGCTCTTGGTGAGAGGGTGGAGGGAGAATTGAAGGTGTTGCCTTGCCGGCAGCATTATATGGAATGTGAAGGGCACCCGCCTTCCCAAGGACCTGCTAGGAGGAGATGTCTTTAACCCATAATGCTGATGCTGAGAGGTTTCAAGGCTGCAACAGACAGATCTGTGCTAAGACCAGAATAGTCCAGAGCTGCTCAGACCTCCAAGAGCATTTGTTCTGGGCTCCTACTGTGACATAGCAGAGCCAGGTGAGGGGATAGAACAAGGCCTGGGCACTCTTCCTTCACTCCCCTTGTACTGGCTGAGTCTCATGAAATTGGAATTAATCAGAAGAGCCCATGTGAACACAGGACAGGCAACAAGGCTTAAAGGAGACTCATGGACAGACTGGACTGCAGTACTCCCTAGTATTGGGCGCTCCATGGGGCACCCCACTTCTTCCTGTATTGGGTTGATGACATCTTTTTATCCCACTCCTTTTAAAAAAAATTATTTTATTTAACTTCATTTATTTACTTACATACTTTTGACCAGAGAGGGAGAGAAAGAGAGCAAGAGAGAGGGAAAGTGAGAAAGCAAGCCGCCAGGTCTGGGACTCATCACAGTCGGCCATGTGAGAGTCCAGCACTCTTAACCACCACGCCACCTGACATCTTGCATCCCCCCAGTGGCTGGAGGTCAGCCTCGTGTCTCCTGTCTCCTCCCAAGGATCCAACCCAATTGTGATTCTGGGCTATAGGATCTTATCATCTTCACGGTCCCTCTGCTCCCTTCACCAGGCTGCACTGCGGCATTCCCACCTCAGCCACCTCCTACTTTTATTCTCAGTTTCTACCTGTCCTCACTCCCCTCAGACCCCACACCCTCACTGCCACCTGGATATACTGCCTGACATGGCTGCTGCCACCGCTGCCTTACAAAACTGGGTGAGCTCTTTCACCATGCCTGGCCCTACTTTCCAATTTGGGTGCCCCTCCTGCTACCTGTCCCCTCGCCAGTCCCTGCTGGGCTATGTGCTCCCTGAGCACAGAGGCTATGCTGTCAAGTGGATGGCAACACCAGCTGGCCCAGGCAATAGTCATATGAGGCTCTTGTTCACCCTTCTCTATTCCTCTGAGCCAGTTCCATAGCTTCAGACAAGTTCTCTGAACTTCTCCTTTATATCCCCCTGAGCTTATGTGCCTGTGTCACCATGACAGAAACAATTTAGTGACTCCCATTTCTATAGGGCAGGCTGCAAATCCCTCTTCTTAGCATTCAGGCTCTTCATGGCCTCTCATTCTCCTCCACAGCTGCCTCGTGGGTGCAAACAATCTCCTAGAAGGGAGACTCAGAGCCTACCCTGCCTCTCTATTTTCTTGGGTTTGTGGGCCCCTTACCCCCAAAGGCTTGGCTTAGCTGTCACCTGTCCTCCACCCTCAGGAACCTCCTCCCTGCACCACCCCTCAAGGCTTGCCTTCCCTGTATCTGGCACACTATCACTTCTCAGAACTGATGTGGGATAAAGGCCTCATGTCAGCTGGCCTCACCGCTGGTCCAAGTGGAATGTGGGGTGAGTGAAGAAGACGGCACAGGAGTGTAGGCACAAGGTAGAGGGACAGATTCTGGTTGGCATGAGAAGGCACTTGGCGTTGGGAGAGGTTGCTGTTGTGGATGGCGGGTAGGCTCAGTGTGGAGATGCAGGGACCAAGAGAAGCTGACCAGGCAAGGCAGAGCCCAGCAGCACAGGACCTGGGGAGAATGGAGCAAGGCAACTGGGCTTCTCAGGCAGGACCTTGGACACAGCTCCCAAAGTTGCCATGCTTCAACGTGGGCCTACAACCCTGTATGTGTCTTCCCAAGAGGCCTGCCCGCTTCACTCCCCCTCTCCTTTGCTTTCCCTTCTACTCATGTCTGTCCCTCTATCCATCACTATTTTTCTGTTTCTGTATCTCTCACTCTGTCCCTATTTCTCTCTCTATGTATTTCTGCCTCTGTTTCTCTCTGTTTTTCTGTCCCCACACCCCTGAAGCTGGGGTGGCATTTGCTAACATACGAAATGTATAAACTGGGAGAAATCAGACACCAGGCTTCCCAGTGTTGTATAATCAGGGACACAGGATGTGATGCCTCCCCACAATCACCAACAAACCAGCCTTCAGGAGAGGCACTGTCAGAAATGGCCACAGATGAAATGTCATGGTCAGGTGGCTTCTGCCACATACTCACCAGGATCAATACCCAGCATGTTGAGTCGTGGCACACCCCTTCCAGAGTGTAATGCTCATCTGTCATCCTGA